ATTGGTAGCAATTGGGACTTTTTTCTTTTTCCCTCATAAGGATTATCTGGAGGAATTTTGGTGTGTTGGAGGAAGGATATGACTTCCTTTTCGGTTTTAGAAGCTTTGTCCCAAGTTGTTATAGGGGAAGTTGAAATTTTCATTAAAGGAGTTTGGTTAATCTCTTCAGTTTATGCTAGCAGAGATCCTCATGGAAGAAGAAGCTTATGGAGCAAGCTAGAAGTGCTTTCAAAATATAATCTTCCCTCCATTGTGGGAGGTGACTCCAATTGCATTTTATTTCAAGATGAGAAAAGAGGGGGGAAGACGTTCACTCTATCACAAGGAGCTCAAGACATGAGTATGTTTATGAACTCATGTGACTTTCATGACTTGAAGATTATCGGTCCAAAGTATACTTGGTGCAACAATAAGAAAGGTGGGGCACGTATATTGGAAAGGTTGGATTGTTGCCTTCTAAACACGACTGCTTTGCAGATACTTAAAATAGCTTATGTACGTCATCTTGCAAGAATAGCCTCGGACCATTGTCCAATCTTGATCATATTCTTCCTACTAATATACGGAAAAACAAGCTCTTAAGATATGAAGAAGTTTGATCTTCATTCCCTGCTTCAGCGACTATCGTCTCTAATTCTTGGGTAAAAGCTGCTCATGGTGATGAAGCCAACGTCCTGAATTTGAAGTTTAAAAGAGCTTTGAGGGCTCTTTTTTTCTGGAGCAGATCGAAGCATCAAAGCCTTTCTTCCTTGAAAGAGGGATTGAAGAAGGAAATTAATGAACTGCAGTTGGAAGAAGCTGAGCTTGGCGGGTTACTAGAAGAAAAGCTGCAATTGCTTAAATCCAAAGTTCATGAGCTGAACTGTACTCTTGGATGTCTTAACACATGGTGGAGATAAAGGGCAAAGGTGAAGTGGAATGCCGATGGAGACTCCAAGTCAAAGTTCTTTCATGCTTATGCTACTGGTAGATGAAATGTCAATTGGATAAATCAGGTCAAGGCCAAAAATAGTCAAGGAGAATGTGTTGAATATCCTAAAGAGGTTGAAAGCATTTTCTTTGATTTCTTCAAAGGCAAATGGAAAGATAGAAAGTGTAAGCTTGAAGGATGGCTGTCCCCTAGTCATGTGCTGAATGACATGGATAGAGGACTCTTGTTGGTTGATTTCACTAAAGAGGACTTGGAAAGAGTGGTGGTTAATTTAGAAGCAAACATCTCCCCAGGTATTGTCGGTACTCATACCCTTTCATTAAAGCTTATTGGTCTATTATTAAAGAAGACATGTGGAAGGCTATTAATGTCTTTTTTAAGAAGGGCATCATGTGTCCCAATTGGAAGGAAACATTAGTGGTCCTCATACCAAAAATTAAAAAGTCCCAATTGGAAGGAAACATTAGTGGTCCTCATACCAAAAATTAAAAATCCAGCTTTTCTTCCAACTTAAGGCCTATTAGCCTTTGCTTGTCTGTTTACATGATCGTAGCTAAGATGTTTTTAAATAGGCTTATGTGCTTCATTCCTAAGATTGTATCAGAAGAACAAGTAGCTTTTGTAAAGGTCATTCAATTTCTGACCATGTATTACTAGCTCAAGAACTATTCAACAAGTTTATATTTTCCAATTCTTCAAAAGAACTTATGGCAATCAAAATTGATATGGAGCAAGCCTATGATAGCATGGGGTGGTCTACCCTAAAGCAAGCTCTACAGGTGTTGGGCTTTCCCATGGATTTCTCTAATCTTCTTCTTCAATTTGTGTATGATCCAAAGTTCTCTATTTCAATTAATGGAAATAGTACAAAGTGGATCGAGGCTAGATGTGGTTATTTGTTTATTTTATGTTCTCAATTTCTTTCTGATGCATTTTCACAGAGAGGTTCTAACATAGGAATTAAAATTGCTCCAAATGCGGATAGAGTCTCTCATTTGTTTTATGCTGATGACATCATTATATTTTCGAAGGCTAATCATAACAAAGCAAGGAAAATCTGTAAATTATTGAAAGACTATAGTAGTTGGTTAGGTCAAATGGTTAATCTCCAAAAATCTTCTATTCCTTTTGCCAAATCGGTTATTAGATCAAGAAGGAGATCCATTTCTAGGATCTTGGGGTTTAAAGTGGTGAAAGAAATGATGTATCTTGGCATCAAGATTGCTTTAAGAAGATTGAAAGCTTCATATTTTCAAATTCTATTGGAGAAAGAAGTTGGTAAACTGAATGTATGGGGTAATCGTTTCATATCTCTACCTGGAAAATTGCTACTTTTTAAGACGATTTTTCTTTCACTTCCTACCTTCTTATCTTCTCATTCTTTAGTTCCTATGGGAGTCTTGAATGATTTGGATAGAATGTGTAGGGACTTTTTATGGAACAAGCATGATGGAATTAAAGGCCTACATTATGTCTCTTGGGAGAAGCTGTGTAATCCGGGCAGGTTGGGTGGACAAGGCGTCCATTCGGTGGCTAGCAAAGTAGGTCCTTTGAGGGCCAAATTTGCATGGAATCTCATCTCCAATCCTGGTTCTCTTTTGAATAGAATTCTTGTTGCTAAGTATGGTAATCAAATGTGGAAAAATGAAGCTAAGAAAAATTGTTCTTCAACATGGAAAGTTATCATTTATGGATTCAAATCTCTATCCACAATAGTAAGATGGAAGGTTTCCACAGGCTCTGAGATTAGTATCTTAGATGATGTGTGGATTCCTGACAAATCATTAGAAAAATGGCCTAAATTTGCTACAGAATTATGTGAAGATTTAAAGTTAGAAGTCTTTATACGGAATGGAAAATGGGATGAATCTCAACTGCTGCGGTTCTTTGGACGTTAGCTGGTAGACATTATCATGGGAGTTTAAATTTGTCCAGAATTAATTGTTGACCAAATGGAGGTCATTACTAAATGTTCAGGTAAATCAATCTCTGCATTGATAGCCTAGAAATTATGTGGAGATGGGGAAGAAGTTTCTCACTAGCGGTGACCAAGGTTTAAAATTGCGTAATTAAGCCTCGAGGTAGTTTTCGTCCGTAGGCGAGGCGTAAGCCTCGAGGAGGTCTGAGGCGTAAGCCTCACGGACACATAATTGCATAAATGAAAAGTTAAGGGTTTTAGCAGGAAAATAATAGCAATATTATATCTTACAATAAAAACATCTAAATGATATATGAAAATAGTGGAAAGTAAGAAAGTAGATGCAATAAAATCATGTTCCAAAGTACAAAATCACAAAAGATTAGTTTAACAAAACTCCCAAAATAAAAAAAAAAAAACATATAAAAGGCAATCATATCCCATCACTAAATGGGTCTTCAAGTGAATCTTCTTCTCCAATTGTATCTATAAATGCCATGTCATCATCATCTTCAATATGACTCACTTTTCTCTTCCCTGTTAAATAAGAGAAAAGATCATTATCATGTTTCACACCCAGAAGAAGAACAAGTGAGGCCCAACACTCTTACAGCAAAACTCTGTAACTCAGGGGTGGAATCAGTATAAATCTGTTTGGTGGCGTAAGAAACTAAAGTTAAAGCTGTGTATAAATCTGTTTGGTGGCGTTTGATAAACAATGCTCTTCCAACAAATGATTTTTTATCATATAGAAGGTTGCTGGATCATAAAGAATGTCATAGAGAATGTATGTTGTCGGAAAATTCAGAGCACATTGCGGTCAAATGCTGGAAATTAACAGAAATATTTAATTTGCTCAGGAAATGGGGGTTCATGGTACCAGATTTTTGCTCATTAGAGGACTGTTATTCAGGACTGAAATCATATGCTGAACTCAATCCATTCATCAAGAATTTATATTGTACTGCAGTTTTTTTTTTCTACTGGAAGAGTAGAAACAGGAAGTACATGGAGGTAAAGAAGATAGCTTGTATGTTATTGCAGCTAATGCCTTAAGCTTGACCACTCCCTCACTTAGTCTTAATCAAAGTTCAGATCACTGGGATTCCAATCAGCTTTCACGGCTGCCTTATTCTTCTTGGTGTCCCCTCCACCCAAATGGATTAAGCTCAACCTTGAGGCTTCATTAGAAAGCAATTATAATGCTAGAGTGGGAGGAGTCTTTAGAGATCATAAAGGTAGATTTTTATGTGCTTTTGGAGTAAATTGTATTCATTGGGACTCAGCACAGGTAGAGCTCTTGTCTATTTTGTCAATTAAAAATTTCATAAAGGATTGGATGCTCGAATCGAAGGGTATCATCATAGAAGGAGGCAACCAAAATGTGATCAATTTTGTTCATAGGCTCTTCAATAAGGAGGCGGTCAAGGAGAAGCATGTAAAGCTTGAAGATTTCTCTTTCCTATTTTGATTTTAATCAAGTTTTGTTTAATTTTACAAAAAAAAAAAAGTAATAAGTTAGCAGATTTTTGTGCTAACTATGCTCGTTCTTTAGATTTTTTTTTGGATGACTTAGGTGATAATAAGATTCCTCCTCTCTTTATTTCAATGTTAAAGGAGGAATTTGATTGTGGTTCAATCACTTAGTTTTTTGTATCTCTTTTTATCAAAAAAATTGCTCTATGCATTTCTTCAAAAAAGAAAAAAAAAAAGAATTAAACTTCTGCATTTAGAAAAACCCACTACAATAGATGTGGACATTCTTGAAAACCTGACTATATTTGGAGTAATGGGTTTAATAAAAAAAAAAAAATCTTCTTTCATTGTAATGACCGAGTATTTGTCATATGCGTTTTTTTTTTAAATTTAATTTTTGTTGAATAGGTAAGAAAATCAAATAAATTATGATGTTTCTGAACTGCTAATTGATATGACAATGGTCAATTCATTCTCCTGTCACAGCTTCTCGCCTATAGTTTGATTAAATTGGACTGTATGATTAGTTCTAATGGCATTCAATCTGCATATTTATTTTGAAACTCTTCACTCTGATTTTTTATTTATTGTAGGCTGTTCATTTTACTCTTTAAGGAAATATTTTACCATATCTTAAAATGAAATTTCTTATTCTTTGAACTGAATGTTGGTTAGGACATTGCTTCTCAAATAGATATATCACTTGTTCTTGCATTTGATGAGGAAGAGAGTGGGCCAGGTTGAAATGCCCATATTTAAGCAAGAATGTTCCTTGTTATGTCATACATAGATAAAACTAACTGGTATATTCTTTTGTTTTGACATTTTTAGTTCCTTGGGCTCCTGCTGGTTCTAAATTCACACGGAATCCAGCACCACCACAGGGGGTAAGCATACTCATGTGTTCTTTTTACTAGTTTCTGCAGCTAGTGCAGTCATTCATGAGTTGAAATCATTGAGCTTCCAAGTTCCAAAAATTCTATATTGTAACTTTTACATAGTAAATGAGTTTAATTTAACAATGCATAATCATCTCTTGCTACTTCTGTTATGCCTTTAATATATTCTATTTGTCAAAGTTGTCATCATGATATTAATGTTGCCATCCCAAACTATCTCCTTCAGAAGTCTTCAAGTCCCAAACTGTAATACAAATTTTTAGTGAATTAATCTCTCATCCTCTGCTTGAATGCTTTCTTTCTTTGTTTTGTTTTTTTTTTTTAAAATTTCTGATCTTTTCTCTACATTTGACTTATCCTTCTCTCTTGTTGTCACTGATCTTAAGTTTATTGGTGGAGGCTTTAGTGTTTATTATCTAAGCCGGTTACTAGGATTTTGTAGAGAGCAAGTTATGAGAATAAGCATATACTATATTAGTGGCTAGAGAAAGAATTTACTAATAAATTAAGGTTTTAGATGAGCGTAAACTTAATCTCTTTTTCATCATATTGACAAGCCCCTCACAATCTATATTCTCTTTTCATTTAATCAGCATCTTCCCTTGTGAATTGCATGTTGATCCTTATCTTAGTTTCATGATGTGACACAAGAATGAGTTTAGGATTGGGATGGTTGATTTATCTGTATTCACATGAGAGGGTCTACGTCTATTCTTTTGAATATGGTTGTGGGCAGACAAGTTATCTCATATGTAAACCTTGTTATAACAAGTTCAAGTAAGGTCTCTCAGAAAAACAAGCCCATAGCATCAATCAACTATTCCAAAAATTCCACGACCCGGCTTCTCAGCGCCGGCCTTTTAGAGTTTTAATGAGCTTAGGTTTTGGGTGAATTTTCAGAAGGCAGATTAGGCTAGAGATTTCGCCCTCATTTTGTGAGGACTTTATGATCTGAGTTCTGGTTTCCCATAGGCGCAAGTCCCTATAGTTAATTACCCCTTCCGATAGCAAGAGAGAACTTTCGATTAAGGCTAGTTGTTAAATAGGCCGCATAGGTCGTAAATCTAGTGTATAATAGCAACATTTTTAGGGTTTGAATTTTGGTATTGAATTTTAGAGTTTATGACTTAAAATGTATCACTGTATACTTAAAACTAGTGATGGGGGGAATGAAGATGAGCCCGATCAAGATCCCATGGTTCCGTCGTTCTCGGCTGTCATGATCTCTGATCTACTTTGTTAGAGGAGATAGTCGACCCAACTTGATAGAAGACACCTTATCGGCAGCCCTGGGATTTTTCGTCCATGAATATCTTGTAGACCTGGGGTAGTGTTTGTCTAAGGGGATATATCTGAATTCACCTTAGTTGACAAAGAGCTTTATGCCTATCGTATGTACTTAATAATTCATTACTCAAAGATTTAACGCGTTAGAGAACATATGAGCTTTGACCATGATCGTAATATAATGGTGCCATTTATGGCCAAACCATCCGATTAGATGGCACGTGCCACGTTCCTGTTGGCAAGAGACTTTGTGAGGATGAATTTTAGTGATACATCCGACGTGACATTCGCTCTTTGTGAGCTGAGGTTAATTTCAAATTTATCACTCCCGATAAATGGTTGCGGGAGGTGGATGAGTTTTAGTTTCAAGTTTTTTAAGTGATACATTTCATCTTTAAGAATTCAGTCTTTTATTGGTTTTGAGATTTAACCCCTTTAGTTGATATTTACATTTAATATGGCCATCATCGAGGTAATATTAAATTCACTTGTATTTTTGTAAGAATGTGGAAGGCATTTTATGATTTAAGTCAGGTCGACTCCAGTCCTTTCATGGAGGATGAAATTTGAATATTTAACCCACGCATCATTCTCAGACATTGAAATTTGCAATTTTATCACATTAATCGAAGTATATGTAGGTTGTGTTTAGTTTGAAAATAGAATATTATATTAGTGAGAATTTGACCCCGAACAACATTCTCAAATATTTGTGTTTATAACTTTAACATGTTTGTCGGAGCACATGTAAGGTTAATATCATTTGAATACGCACAATGCTTTATTTGAGAACTTGTAGACGCCTTCTATATTCTAATTTGAGTGTTGCAGATTCGGTGGCGCATAAATAATTTTAATGAATAACTTTAACGCTGTCGTTACGAGGTCTCAAGTCCTAAATTAGAAAAGTGGAGGGTTGCATTAGGTAGTCGATAGCCAGCGTAAAACTTGTCGAATCGGTATGACATGAATTTTTTACAAAATGGTGTTAATACTAGGGCGTCTGTTGGAAGCGACGCGCTGCATGGTCTGAATATGGCGATAAGTATGCAAGGGCCACTGCACCGGTGCCCAGTTGCAGTGTTAAAGAGGCAAGGGTTCTCACATCAAGGATGTATGTGGGCAAAGAAGTTATTCCATAGAGCTAAAATAAGGATAATAATTTGGAATATAGGTTCCCTTACAGGAAAATTAATTGAATTTATAGATATTATGATTCATAGGAAGATAAATATTCTGTGCATTCAGGAAACTAAATGGGTTGGAGAGAAGGCTAAGGAGAATGATAGTTTAGGATTTAAACTATGACATTTGGGTAAGAGTCGTATTAGAAATGATATAGGTGTAATTATAGATCAGAGTTTGAATGATAATATTATAAAAATTAATACAATTAAAGATAAAATTATAGCTTTAAAGATTGTTGTTGATTATTGTTGATGCTAAGATTATTAATATTATAAGTACTGCTTCTCAAGTAGATTTGAATATGAGTTCAAAATTAAATTTTTTGAATGAATTAGAAGAATTAATATAAAATATACCTCTTCAAGAAAGAGCTTTTTTGGAAGAGATTTAAATGGACATGTTGGTGGAGAGGTGATAATTTTAAAAACATTCATGGTGGATATGAGTTTGAAATAAAAAATGAAGATGATAAGATCATATTAGATTTTTTTTAGCTTATAGTTTTTAATTGCTAATATCTTATTTATTAAAAGAGATGAGCATCTTGTCACTTATTTAAATTGATATAGTAAAAGGCATATTGATTATTTTCTTATTAAAAAATTAGATTGTTCACATTTCAAATATTGTAAAGTTATTTCGAGTAAACATTTATTTATCCAATGTCAATTATTAGTGACTTTAAGATAAAGGGGCATAAAATAAAAAATAAAGTAAAATATATTTTAGGATTAGATGGGGGCATTTAAAGAAATATTAACAAAAATATTTTTGAGAGTAAGATTTTGGATCTTAAGATTTTGTTTGTGCATGAGGATGCTAATGTTATTTGAGAAAAAGTGGCTACTGATATTTAGAATATTGCAAAAGATATATTTAGAGTATCAAAGTGAAAAACTCCTAATAGTAGAAATAGTTGGTGGTAGAATCCAAATGTGCAAGAAAAGATAAAAAAAATAAAAAAATTTGTTATAAAAATTAGTTTAAATGTGAAAATTCTGATAATTAGGAAATATATAAAGAGACATGTAAGGAATCTAAGAAAATAATATACAATGCAAAGATCTTAGCTTTTAATTATTTATATAATAGATTAAGATACTAAGGAGGAGAAAGATATATTTATAAGTTAGCCAAACAAAGATATATGAGTAGTATAGATTTAGTTCAAGTGAAGTGTATTAAGGATGAAGATTAAAAAGTGATTTTCTTAGAAAATGATATTCAACAAAGGTAAATGAGATATAGTTCTAAATTTTTTAGTGAAGAATATAAAAATACGATTGACTTTAGTGACCTTCACCCTATATTAAAATAAAAATTTTTGTTTTTATCGGCATATTAGTATAACTGAAGTTAGAGAGGATTTAAATAATAGTAAGTGTAAAAAATATGTTAGGCCTTATGATATTCCAATAGAGGTGTGGAAATGCTTAGGAGATGAAGGTATTTCTTGGCTTACTAAACTTTTTAATACTGTTTTGAATATTAAAAAGATGCAGATGAGTGGAGAATGAGTGTGTTAATTCCTATTTTTAAGAATTAAGGTGATGCAAAAGATTGTGCGAATAATAATGGAATTAAGTTAATGTGTCATACTTTAAAACTATAGGAGTGAGTTATAGAGCATAGGTTGTGGCGTGATATTAATGTTTCTCAAAATTATTTTGGATTTATGTCGAGTAGGTCTATTATGAAAGCCATATATTTATTGAGAGGTTTGATGGAGAAATATAGAGAGAATAAGGAGGATCTACATATGATATTTATTGATTTAGAGAAAGCATATGATAAAGTTCCAAGAGAAGTGCTATAGAGAGTTCTTGAAAAGAAAGTAGTTAATAACTCTTATATTCAAATCATTAAAGATATGTATGCAGGAGCAATTACTTGTGTTCAAACACAAGTTGGTTTGACCTTAAGCCCATATCTTTTTGCTTTAGTCATGGATGTTCTTACTAGAAATTTGCAAGAGGATGTACCTTGGTATATGTTTTTGCTGAAGATATTCTTCTTGTTGATAAGACTAGAGAGGGAGTTGAAGGTAAACTTGAATTATTGAGGTCAACATTAGAGTTTACAGATTTTCTCTTGAGTAGAGCTGAAATTGAATATATTGAGTGTAGTTTTAATAGTATAGACCTAGTGAGGGGATTTTGACTTTGGGTGATCAAGTCATTAACAAGAGTACTTGTTTTAGATAACTTGAATCTATTGTTCAGATTGATGTTGAAATAGATGTGGATGCTATGAGCAGAATTTAAGTTGGATGGTTGAAGTGAAGGAATGCATCGGGCTTGTTGTGTGATAGAAAAATCTCCCTCAAACTTAAGGAAAAATTCTATAAGATGACGGTGAGACCTGTAATGCTTTATGGTGTCGAATGTTGGCCATTAAAAGAGAAGCATAATACTAAGTTAAGTGTTGCAGAGATGAGGATGCTCAGGTGGATGAGTGATTTTACCCTTAGAGATAGGATACAAAATGAGCATATACGTGAAAAGGTTGGAGTA